AAAAAAAGTGAAAAATAAAGGAGAGAGAAAGGAGAAAAAAAAGGGCATCACCGGCCACTGCAGTTCCTTCATTGCAATAACAGTGCTGCCGCCACCAACAATATCATCTCAATGCCACCGCAGGTCAACCTTTTTCCCTCTCCTCCTCAACCTTCATCTTTTGCTTCTGCACTTTTCTCTCCACTGTTAACGTTGTATGTCAACAGTGGAGAGACCTACTGTTTACATAGCCCAGCCCCTGTAGTTGGGCTAGGTTGAACCTAGTCCATATATTTGGATGTGATCGGTCCATTTAAAAAAAAATTAAAAAAATATTTTGTTTTGTTCAGAATTTTACAATTTTCCCATGTAATTTTTTATGTAATTTTGATTAATGTCGGGCAATATTTTTATGTCATAAAAATATAAATCTAGTATTAAAATATTTAGTTTTACAAAAAAATAAAAAAACAAAAAATTGAAAAGAAAAAGAAAAAATATTTTTGTGCATATGGCTAAGTGTCTCAAAAGCTAAAAAATCATATTGTGTTTTTCCATGCACCAAAAAATATTTTAGCATATATTTGGCTTTAATAACTAGTTTATTAAAGTCAAGAGAACATTGGTCAAAATTTCAAAAATAACAAAAATTTTATTTTGTTTTGTTTTAGCATTAGGGATTATGAATTTATATGTAAAACATATTCATGATATTAAAAAGGTATTGTTCATCAACGATATAGAACAATTAAGTTTTTATTCAATAAGATAAGAATCTCCTTACAAACGATGACTTTTCTTAAACCATAAAAAAGTGAAAAATAAAGGAGAGAGAAAGGGAAAAAAAAAAAGGGCACCACCGGCCACTACAGTTCCTTCATTGCAATAACAGTGTTGCCGCCACCAACAACATCATCTTAATGCCACCGCAGGTCAACCTTTTTCCCTCTTCTCCTCAACCTTCATCTTTTGCTTCTGCACTTTACTCTCCACTGTTAACGTTGTATGTGAACAGTGGAGAGACCTACTGTTTACATAGCCCAGCCCCTGTAGTTGGGCTAGGTTGAACCTAGTCCATATATTTGGATGTGATCGGTCCATTTAAAAAAAAATTAAAAAAATATTTTGTTTTGTTCAGAATTTTACAATTTTCCCATGTAATTTTTTATGTAATTTTGATTAATGTCGGACAATATTTTTATGTTATAAAAATAAAAATCTAGTATTAAAATATTCAGTTTTATAAAAAAATAAAAAAGCAAAAAATTGAAAAGAAAAGGAAAAAATATTTTTGTGCATATAGCTAAGTGTCTCAAAAGCTAAAAAATCATATTGTGTTTTTCCATGCACCAAAAAATATTTTAGCATATATTTGGCTTTAATAACTAGTTTATTAAAGTCAAGAGAACATTGGTCAAAATTTCAAAAATAACAAAAATTTTATTTTGTTTTATTTTAGCATTAGGGATTATGAATTTATATGTAAAACATATTCATGATATTAAAAAGGTATTGTTCATAAACGATATAGAACAATTAGGTTTTTATTCAATAATATAAGAATCTCCTTACAAACAATGACTTTTCTTAAACCATGGACAGATTGATAAATTTTAGACACTACAACCAGACCTTAGATTTTATTAGACAAAACAATACAGCTTACCTTAAGTATGACGTATTTGGGGTGCTAATATCTTCTTTTTACGCAACCAATCTTCGTACTCCATCTCTAAAATTAGTTAGGATTCCTAGTGACAAGAACACTAGGTGACGACTCTCAGTCTATATTTTATTGATTAGAGATAATAATTCATTGTTTCTCTATATTTTGCCAAAGGTAGACACCGTTATGTTTTTTCTAGAGGGTGGACGATCACCGCGACGCTGCACACATACAACAGGAATCATTATTTTCAATTCAGCCCCTCATTTTTTTTCATTTCAGTTTCATCTTTCTTCACAATTTCATTCTTTCTCTTTTTTTAATAATCATTTAGGTTACAATTGAATCCAAATTGACTGAATTTTGTTTAATAATCATTTAGGTTACAATTGAATCAGCCAAATTGACTGAATTTTATCGAAACAACTATTTCAAGATTTAAATTTACACTTGGGCTGGGTAAAGAGCTTGATGGAGAGGTTTTTTCTGTTAATTAATTTCCTTCTTAAATTTTTTTTATTGTTTGATCAAATTACTTTTGAATCAACTAGGTTGACTGAGTAATATTATGACAATTCCTATAAATTTTAATTTTAAACTCGATTTAGAAAAAAAAATTTAGTCGAGAGATTTTTTCATGCCAATTTTATCTTCAGATTTTTTTTATTGGTCGGCCAATATGTCTTTGAATTACAAAGTTGAATGAGTCGTGTTGAAATAATTTTTACATGGTTTAATTTTAAATTTAAATTAAATAAAAAATTAGATTAAAAAGTTTCAAAATTAATTTGATGAGCTGATTTTAATTAAAATATCGAATAGTTTTCAATTACTTGAAAGTTTTTTTGTTACGCATAATTTTTTTTTTTAATTCAACCCACACTGATATATAAACTAGTGCATATCTATCGGAAGAAGCAATTCTTTCTTATTTTGATTAAAAAGGAAGAAAAAGAAAGATTTACCCAGTAAATAGACATGGAAGTTTTCGGATTGCAAGCACACACGCACAAGGAAATGTTATACAAACACAGCTAAAAACTGGCCTTGAGAATAATTAATCTGGCCCGATGCTACCAATTAAAGAATATTATTAACATACACTATAATTTGTACAAGATGCCAAAGACACTGTATGCAAAAAATAAATAAACCCTAACGGTATACTTGCACAATCTGCCTAGCTAACGTTTGATCCAATCAAACATTGAGGTGTCCCTCAAATAATCCAAACACAACAAATACGTACATCATTAATCAACAAATGGTTGACATCCTTAATTTCTTAAGTAGATTTATATAAATAATAGTAATATTTTCATATGAAGACCACGCTGTTATGATCAATCTCGAATCTCATGTCTTCCAGATTTGAAGCCAGAGCCCCATCTCCCAAGCTAGTTTCTTCCAAGTCCATGTCATCCCACAAGAAGGCATACTGATCATCAACCACTTTGGAGCTGATGTCAGTGCTAATATTGAGGTTGGCGTTCCTGTCCTGAGATAGCTGAAGAAGGTTTAGCAAAGAGCTTTGGTCTTGGTTTTGATGGGGTGGGTTTGATGATAATGATGTCATTTGCTGGTACCCACAAGACAAAGTTTGATGCTCAGTTAAAGGTGATGCTGCTAAGTTTACAGTGCCGCTACTAGTGGTGGTCTCGAACATGAACTGTGGGCTGAATTTTGCGTTGTAATCTTCTGTTTTGCATTTGTGGAATACTCTGCACAACACCCAGTCCTCCTGTGAAAAGTAACTTTAATTAGTAAGCATAAAGGAGTTGATCGATGTCACCTATGTCAAATATTTGTCAAGCTCGTTTGAAAGTGTTAGCAAGGTGTCAAATCGCGAAGCAGAAAGCACAGTACCTTGGGGTGCATATGTGGGGTCTCAAGACGAAACTCATGCATGATCCAACCAGTTTTGATTCCATTGGGAGCTCTGTTCCTATAGAAAACCAAGGTCTTTCTCATCCCTACAACCTCACGAGTTGTAGGGTCCAAAACCGTACGATCCTTCCCTGTAGCTTTCCAGTATCCAGTTGTTGTAGCACGATTGGTTCTGAATCCGGTGGCGTATTTTCGATCCCGGAAACTGAAGAAATACCACTCAGTTGCATTGAGCTTAGCCACCTCTAAATCCCACAAATATATGTAATTGGGTAAGTTCAATTAGCAAGCTGAAACTACGGATAAAATAAAATAATGCTTTCATGTACATGAAATTACGTCTTCGCTCTTTTGCGTGTGTGTGGGGTTAATTCACTTGCTACATCTTGTCCATGAAATTAATCATGTGATTACTTTAATACTATTCACTTATTATTGAAGACAGAAGTGTGCATATATATATGGTTGATAGTTACATCTAAAGCATTCAATTACGTATGTGTGCCTAATTTATTTATTTTAAAAAGAAGAAGAAGAAGAAGAAGAAAAACTAGCATGAAATGAAATAATTAAACATAAATACGAAGTTGTCGGGTTTATGCACGTTGCCTTTTATATGAATTATGTGAAATAATAATTTCTTATGAATAGAATAGTTAATTAACGAGGCAAAGGTTGGGAGGCCATGCATGGTTGGGGGAAAAACTAACAAAGAAGCCTAATTACTTAGTATTTAGCATCAAATATAATTCAACTGGGAAGAAATAATTTCTAAGAGTATGCGTGCAGAAATAAATTTGTGAAAATGAAACTCTTCAATGCTTTCTTGGAAGATACTCTGCTGAAATCATCATCATGCCTTGAAAATCAAGGGGATGGGAACAACAGATCTTCATTATTGATTCCATTGTACTTGGTTGCTTTTGGAAAAATTAATGGAAATTACTAATTTCGGTAGGATAAATAGTAGGCAAGCAAGCATTGGCTTCTAGTTTGACTCCTGAAGCCTCCCGGATAAACAATAACAGGTCCCTTGCATGCACCGCAAGGCAATAAAAGCCAAAATCATTTAAGTTTTTGCATTATAACAAAATTTTATCCTTATATATATATATATGGGGAAAGATTTCTCTTTTTATATGATATTTTTACAAGTTAGATATGGCTACGTACAAAGCATTTTTGTAGAAACTTAAATAAAAACTTTATATATTCTCTAAAAATTATCAATACAGGTAATTAAAATTAACAGGGAAAATGGAAAATCATATATATTTCCATTAGGGAAGTACAAACAAGAAAATGGGCAGGCCACACATACCCGTTCATGTGTTTGTTCAAATGTTCTTGTAACTTGTATCATGTGTGGTTTGTACTAATAATCAATGATTTGAGATTTAATTTTTTTTTTCAAATAAAAACCGTGAGAGGATCGAATTATCCTCTATAAAAAAGAAAAAGAAAAGGCAGAAGAAGGAGACGGTAGGAACATAAAAAGAAGATGATAATTTTGTCTCCCATGTGCAGCTTCAGACAAGCACATCATGAACCAATATGCGTGTGTGTGAACGAACCAGTTATAACACTTCGGCCAGATATACAGGAAGTGCACTAAATTCTTAGGAAGATAGCAGGGGACATAGGACATCGAAGCTTCACATGACCACACAAATTGCCCCCATGTACAGAAAATAAAAAAAAAAAGAACAGGACTAGCTAACCAATTGCATGGACACGCCCATGGAACACGTACTTGCCTACAGTGTTTTTAGCCGTAAAGGAAAACACTGAGGAGGATAAGCATATCCCCAAAAATAAGTGATAAATGTGACCTAATTCTTACAGTAGCCACATGATCAAGTCAGGCTTTCTTGGATTTGCTTCTAAATTAAGAAAGGTCACACGAGCACACATTTATACAAGTTAATGAAAACCGGAAAATATATAGAAGACAAAAGTATAGCAATGAGTCCCAAGTTGTGAATACTTTTGTTTTTTTGGTAATAACTTGTGAAGAGTTCCTAATGTCTAATATGCATAAATATTTTGCCTGCTCAGAAAAAAGAAATTGATGAGACTGAAAGAATTTAATCTGAAATTAAGTTGCCAGGTGATTCTTGTAGCCCTTATTATATCTTTCTGTGACCTTTTTCTCCTTGTCGTTGCTTACAACTTACCAGAAGACTATAAAAAAGACCTTAAAGCAATGGGAAGTCAATCTTTCTTGAATTTGCTTCTGAATTAAGAAAGTCTGAATTCAAATGCTTAGTGCTCACACATGAACACATGCATGTAAGTTAAGGAATATATGGGTAGTAAAAACTAGAAAATAAAAGAAAAAAATATGGAACGATGAATCCCAACTTGTGAGAGGTTAACTTAATTACCATGTTTAATATGCGTAAATAATATGCTTGCTCATGAGAAGACATTGATAAGACTGAACGAATTTAACTTGGGACTTGCTAGGATTCTTGTAGCCATTATATTTCTATGACCTTTATCCTTGTCGTTGCCCACCACTTACCAAAAGAATTAATTGAAAATATAAAAAAGGGTTAAAAAATAAAACACATTACCATAGAATATTATTTGGCCACCTATTTTTATCTTATCTTATCTTTGGCTACCAATTCAACGACGCACTAAATGGTGAGTTTATATTAATTAAGAAGTTTGTCTGACATTAATTATCATTCGAATTTCATAGCTAATTAAGAGCCTCCCCCCCTTCTCACTATGCATGTGCGTGTATTATCGTGTTTAAAGTTTAAACAGAGACTACACCAAACGTGTGTGTCTGTTCGCCTTCCTTGTAATACCGAAACTCGAATCTTCTTTTCATTTTCTGTATGTCTTCAGCTGTGCTGAACCAAGCACAGAAATCCTGGTTTTTTGAGTTTTATCATCGATTAATTAAACAATGCATGAATGATATTATTGATGAGTTATTACACGATTAAACAAAGTATCCTCTTCAAATTGGAAATTAATGAAAGGTGGGGCGAGATTAGAAGCGGGAAAACCTAAGAAGAAACAGAAGGAAATAAATTTGTGATTAAAAGGAGACCTGTATCAGATACATACCAGGAAGTTGCCATGGCTCACAAGTATGCAAGTCAACTTCCACCAAAGTACCCTTCAAGACTTCTTCATTTGTGATCTTTTTGTAGAGGTAATGGCAAACGAGCTCTTCATCACTAGGATAAAACCTAAAACCAGGAGGGAGTGTTGCTCCAATGTCTCTTAGCCCCATGATGATTGTCTTTTGAAAGGAAAATTCTAAAGCACTAATTAAGGCTAAAGCAAGGAGCAAATTTTAGACAAGACGTAGTGGGGAATATAATTGGAATGTATTTGAAAAAAGAAGAAGCTTTGATTTCTTTGCTTTGGAATTAGAATAAGATATGTGGGAGAAAGGTTGGTGTTGTGTGTTTATATACATAGTTAGGATGACAAGTGCCTTTGCCTCTTAGAATTTCTTATAATATTATAGGAGCAGGCCATGCTTGTGCAACTAGTTAGTTATAGTGTGAAGTCTCAAGAAAAACCAAAGTTACAAGAAATCTTTTAAGGGAGTGGTGAAATTAAATCAAATATCGATGCATCATATATTGACAAAAATCCATAACTTTTTATTAGAGAAGCCTTCCAAAACACCCCTTTTTTTTAATCTATAATATAAAGATTTCTCCCTTTACTTTAATTCAACAAAACTATGATTATTTTCCTTGCAATACTATTTATGCAGAAGGAAACACAAAGGGTAATATTTTCTATATATATATATATGGCCAACATTTTTGTAACCCTAATTAAGTTTTCTAAATTATGTAATTAATGATAATAATTGCATCAAAGAGGATATAAAAAGGGACAAAAATTTAATGGACAGTACTAATGCTCCATTAATTTCACATCTAGATCATTGCATATAATATACTCAAGATATATAGATGAAACTTACGGGGAAAATATTTTTAGTGTACTAAACTATGCATAATTGAGTATTTTAAAAAAGAAGAAAAGCTACGGTTATGTATAGAGTAGAATACCTGTATTAATTTTGTCATCTTGTGGTGTTTTAGTTTCTGGTTACTAAGCTGTATGTATTATGATCGGTTGAGATTAAGTTGTTAATTGATTAAATCGAAGGTCATGATCAATTAACGAGGCTGCTGGTACGTGTTATTAAATAATTAATTGGTAGGATCATTCTATCAGGAGGGCCACCAGCTCGATAAAACGCCCCAAAACAAATTGTCCCAAGCACGTGAACCATTTGATTGATCTAAGACCCAGAAACATACACAGCTCAAGTAATAAATCAGAATAAATAGCTGGAAATTTCGAATAATAATATCATAATCATGAACTCATTGATATGTATATATCTGTTGAGAGTCCGATCAGTTCAATTTTTTTATCACGGAGGAATATTTTTGGATTGATTATCAAGGTGGGCCATACAGCTTGTCTTTGGGATATGGGGGCCACTGGTGATGAAGGATATTAGGCCCAATATCAATACATTTATACGGTGAACTCAACTAATTAATTTGGTGTGGATTTTGTTTTCTAGATGATTAGTAATGCTAGGATGGCAATAATAACGGAAGTGAGGACAAGGGGATGTTTGTCACAACATGTATCATCTAATGATAATAATTAGAGGGATTTTATGTAGTAGATCATGACTGGACTGGGGTCACCATGGCTTAACATGCCATAGAAATAATGGAGACGTCATTGTAATTTTCACTGTGTATATGACCATGACATGTGGAGACGTCATTGTAATTTTCACTGTGTATGTGACCATGACATGTGAGAAAAGAAAAGAAAAGAAAAGAAAAACCTAAAGAATCTATAGCATATGTTCATGCCACACAAAGTCAAGAATGCCCTTTCAGTTCCAAGCAAGAATACTTGTACATCAGGTTAAGAAATACATGCCATGGCCTCTTTAGATGATGATGGGTCGTTTTTTCCGTTACAGGATTACATTGTATTAATTACAAGCATACATCATTACCTTAAGGGGACATGGAAGCTCAAAGCAAAACGACAGTCATTAATTAGGCTTAGTGGTCCTGTCGGGGAAGAACACGGTTAATTAACACCTAATTATGGCTATATAATCGATCATAAAACTAAACGCAATTAAGGGAACTAAGGTTTAAATCAAAATCAGATAATTGTCATGAGAATGTAAAGAGATTAACTTATCTCATGAGCTAAAATTGAACTTCAAAATATATAGATATAGCTAGCGTCTTATTATTGTCTTGAAAACAGAAGAGATAGTGATGATGAAGGAGGGAAAAAAAAAAACATGTGTTCATGTACTTCCTAGTTTAAGATTATTACAAAAGAAAAATCACAATTTTTTTTATTTTATATTGTTATTTTTGTTTCTTTAGCCAAAGACATCTCGATCTATCTAGACTAATGAAATAGAATCATACAGATCAAATAGAGAATTATGATGATGAAGTTCTATAATTAAGTCACCAAGCAAGTACAATGACAAGGGTCTTAATTATTTACAATCACCGAGGAAAGTTATTGTTGATAATTTTGTTTGAATTAATTGTAAACCCTAAATCAACGGGAGGTGAACGCGGTAAGTCCACATTTTTAAGGTACACATCATAGGCATGGTGACGTAGAGATCATTCTAAAATTATAAATCATGACAATCCAAAGCAAGGCAAAGATACAAATGATTGGTGAGTTGTAGTATTAGGGCTTTTGCCAAGGTGGGAATTTTTATTTGTTAGGAGTGTGGATGATGTTTATACAAAGAGTGACGGCTTGATATTCCTCAGAGACCAATAATTTCATTTCATCGACTACAAAGAGTGACGGCTTGATATTCCTCCTTAGAGACCAATAATTTCATTTCATCGATCCCCTCCCTCCCTCTCTCTCTCCCTCTCCCTCTCCCTCCCTCTCTCTCTCTCTCTCTGATGATGATGATGATGATCAGGCCCTCCTTTCCATGGTGCATGCCCTCATACTTGATTCACTTCCATAAGTTATGGGCTCTCTGTATATGGGACATGTTTGGTGTCACACACAATACCAATCACAGCAATCACACGCCCTCTCAAGGCCTGTAAATTACAAAGTGGTCCCTATAAGTTATGAACATTACCCTATCAAACCCTCTCAGCCAAGTGTTAAATTAAAACGACTTCCAAGCCAACGTGGCATTCTCTAATGTTCCTTGGAAGCTTGTTCTTAATTGGAGATGTTGTTATCGAAATCATTTTTCTATGAACAAGACATCAGCTCCCTATAATATTACTTGATTATTAATTGATTAATTAAAGCATATACTATTTCAATGATTATCCTAAGATTTTCATATCGTATAGCTAGATTATAGATACATGGCTGACAAGAATGATATTTTGGCATCGTATCTCTTATTTTAAGATTTACCAGGGAGTAACAAGCTACAGGAACTATATATGAAAACAACATAAGGAATAGTGTTCTTCTTCTTCTTGTTTTTTCTTTTAATTTTAATGTCTGTTACTATGTTATTGACATTTCAGTCAACAATGGCAGCTCAAAAAATTAAGGAATATAATCCCGCTGCTTCTGTTTAACTCCCTTCTTTCTATCTGTGTGTGTAGAGAGACAGAGATCGAGGGAGAGTATATACTTAAATTTTGGCTCTAATTATAACATTAAAAGAATCATTGAGAGAGTATCTATCCCAGATCACACGTTGTTCTTATTTCGTAATCTAATTCAACGAAAATCATTATAATTATAATAAGAAAAACATCATACAGAAAACAAGGCATGATCAGTGAGCTAAGTTTTCTGCTGACAGAAAAATTAACAGAAACGAAAGAGATGTATGCTGGTGACTGGTTCCTGAGAGATGCGGCATGTAAAAGTGAAGGTTTGAAAATAATACTCCAGAAAATAATACTCCACTTTACGTGACAATTTTCCTAACTTTCTTTTCTTTTTCTGTTTTTTTTTTTAAATCTTATTTCCTAACTTTCTTTTCTTTTTCTGTTTTTTTAAATCTTATTGCACTTTGATTCCATTATCAGAACTCCTTTTCAAGAAAAAGGTTATTGTAAACTTTTGAAAATCTTGGTATGTGATGAGATCGTTGACGACTCAGTACCGTTATCAAAATATATTTTTATGCTTTCCCAGAAAAAAAATGTAAAAAAAAATCAAATACATCAATCCTCATCGGTATATATGGTGAGGACTTTGGATAATTTAGGGTAAAATATATCCTTGTAATTAATACCAGATACTTCCAGTCTTAATACTTAATGAAGATCGGCTGCTTGAGCTTTGCAATACTTGGTAACAGATCTTGTTGTCTTAAATTATATATATATGTTGATGCAAATTAATGTTATATATATATATATATATATGCGTGGAAATTAAACGGGAAGATTAAAAAAAAAACCGATGATGAGCTCCCTAATTGCAAGTTACAAATTAATGATTATGGAAAACTGAAGATTCTGTGAAGCATAGGACCCAGTTCGGGTGATGTTCTTTCCAATTTTTTAAGAAGAGAAATAAAAAAGGATCAATATAAAAAAAGTTCTATGAATTTATAAACGCTTGATGAATATGATATAGTATCAAGTAGTACTTTTACCAATTGACCATGATGAATTACTTCGGTGGAACAAAGGGATGAAATCCTATTACTATTTGAATAAAAAATATATATAAGAAGATCAATTGAACTATTGTTGAAATCCCAAATGGTATGGCACCTCCCCCAGTTGCAATAACATAAAAGAACACTTGGCATTCAAGTTCTGGTGCAATTCTCAAGTGTTGTCATGAAGATCGAAAAAGAATATATGGGATGCTTTTAAAGTTTGCTTTACAAGATTTCATAGGAACAGAGCTACTAGCTAGCTAGGCCCCTCTTTGTCAACAAAGCTGACACAGGATATAACCAATGTATAGCTCGATCGACTGTGGACAGAAACCATCAAAAAAGAAGTTTAGGGTACAATTGAAAGCTGGTTTTTTGGAATAATATGGCACGCTCAATGGATAAAGGAGATTAGCGAGACAGTCTCAATATAAAACCTCATGTCCTTTTCAGATTTTTTTTTTTTAAAATTGAATTTTGCTAATGTGGCCACATCAAAAGATTCGCTTGATAGCTTGAAAACGTGGGAAATCGTTAACTACAAGTATAAGCATCCTCTGATTATGCAGGCCTCTAAGGGATTTTGATTATAGATCATGAAGGAAATCTAGGAATTATCAATCGAAAAGATTACGTGTATCATAATTAATTTCAATATTCACCGAGTAATTCAACATTTTTCAACGAGATCGGGCTCTACAGGCTGCAACTTCCTATAAATAGGCATGCCCGAGGGCATGCATGAAGTACATATATAGACTTCTGTAACCTAAAATATAAGTTTTATTTGCTTCCATCGCATTGCATAGTTG